TCAAATAGTCAAGTGCGTGGCGAATCCATGCAGGAGAGTATTTTGGGTACGAAAGGTGAGCAAACGGAATTTAACTTTTGTGTGACACTATTGGTTTTTCTGTGATATCCACTTCTACCAAACATGGAAGACACTGTGCTCGATTTGGCGCTTTTTGCCCACCTGACATCTAAATTTTTGTGCCTTAAGCCCCTTAATTACGACACTTTTTTTTGGAATTTTTAGCGCAAAATTCTGCCCTTCTCGACCAATTTGTTGCCTTCTAAAGTGATCAGGTCCGTTGGAATTGGGAAATTTTTTTTTTTAAAGTTTGAGCTCTTTCCGTGACGCCTTTTGATAATTTTCTGCATTCTTTTTTTTTGCTTAATTTTTCACACGATTTTTCACACATCTCTTTTTTCTACGCTGTTAATTTTTATGCTTTTGTCAGGATTAGGGAAAACGTTTATCTTCAACTTTCCCTTACCCTCCTTCTTTCTCCCCTCTTTCACCATTCAGCCACTCTTGTCTTCTTTCACTATGGATAGACTATTTCTTGAGGTCTTTGAATTTAAACACAATTTTTCCCGTGGCTTTTTTTCCAGGATCTCGCTTATGGTTGATGTGTGGTTTTGTGCTATCGTTTGCATCGTTAGTAGCGGCGCTTTGGATTATGTTTGCGGATTATGTGCTTGTTGTCGGAGATCATCCAACATGGCCTGGAGTTGCACTGTTCTTCCACAATTTCTTAATATTTCTTGCTTCACTTGTCTATAAATTTGGCAGAACCGAGGAACTCTGGGGATAGGATGTAGGTGAAATCACCGCAGCATTTAAGGTCTGGCAGGTATAGAAATGAAGAATTTGTGACAAAGGTACGATTAAATGAAAGAATGAAGAAATTGAGCTCAACAAGATTTGACTCATTTTTGTACTCTTTCAAGTGATAAATAGGTGCAATATTTTCGTCTGTACATGGGTTCTGGGCGTATGTGGATGACGATATTAATACGGGGGGATTGCGTATGGTGTAGGCGCACACTTCTGAAGTTTCAGCCTCCTAGCTTTTCTGGTTCTCGAGTTGAAGGCGGTTTGACTTTATTCAGTTGTAGGTGGAAATACCAAACTGTGACGCTGTGTGTGTAGGTGTGATATTTCAGAAATTTTTGATATTTTTGTACTGCATGTAAAATAGGCTGTCTGCTTTTACTAACTGTCTTTCTTCAGTAAGAAATTTTGTGTGTACTGGTCTTTAGTATTGAGGCCGAACCATTTTTGTGGTACCAGGAAGGGATCACTTTCTTGTGGTACTGCTTTTTGCATAGCTTAATTTCCTCTCTTTTTCACTATTTGATTGTCATACGGGCTAAACAAACACTACCAGAGAAATCATTATTTACGACAAATCATTATTTTTAATGGTATGTGCTTCTCAGAAATATTTGCTTGGACCACATTTTAAACTTGCATAAGTTGCTTGTCGAGAATTATGTGAAAATTACATGTGAAAATACATCTGTCCTGTTTAAAAAAAAGCTTTTTATTCTTTTAATTCAGAAATGTGCAAATGTATCACAGTGGCGCACTCAGCTTTCTCGACAATTGAGGGAAAAGGGAGGCACGGAGGGATATTCACTCTTTTTTGGAGAAACTTGTGTCCACCGACAAAAGTACCACCACACTTCCAATTTTTCCTTCATATTCCCTTAAATTGAGCTTCTTGGAACCGCTTTTGTATCATGCCCAAATGGCTTTTGCACTGCTCTCAGCTTTACCCAAGCATCAGATTCATAAACATGGAAGTCCACTACTGGAGAAAAGCTTTCAGCAAACGAAAAACTCGTTATCAGCAAAGGACTTCTCCATTTATGAATCGGTTTTGGCCGTTGTGGCCAGGTTTGGTCAGGAGCATGACCTTGAAACCCTCCAGTACCTATTGAGGCGCCACTGAAATTTCCCTGTGAACCAATTGTTCTGTCTCCGTCCAATCATTGCTATCATTCGAAGTGTACCGGAATGAGTATGTGGAAATGTACTGGAAGCTAATTTTATTACTGGGCTAATTATCCGTTGCATCTGGATCGCAAGCTGATCTTTGCCTCTCTCTGATCTGTGCAGCTTATCCGCACTTTGCCATTGCTTCTTCAGTTTAAACTAATAAATGTATTTCGACGGGAACATGCAATAATTTCCTAAGTTTTTTATTGCTTCTGAGATGGTATCTACTGGAATTTTCGGTTTTTTTAAGACATTTTTTTTTTCAATTTACAAATTCGTTTTTTCAAATTTTTCGGATTTCAAATTCATTTTCAGTTTTACTTATCCTCAAAACAGACCGAAAATACCTCGAAAGCTTTGGGCGATTTTTTGAAATCGTTTTCTTTTATTTCTCAAATTTTTTGCAAATTTATTTTTTTGAAATTTTTCAAATTTCAAATTCATTTCCAATTTTATTTATTTTCAAAACGAAAATATCTCGAAAATTTTGGACGAAAAATCATAAGTTTTTTTGTGTGAGAGTTGCATAATCGCAAGTATTTCTGTTAGTTTACAGAGGGGCAATTTGGCGAGTTTCGCGGGGTAGCACTTTCGTCTTCCGCGGTTGGATTTGACCATAGTTTCGTGCATTATCTCCCCTTTTGTTCATCAGATACCGAACACTTCAATTCCCTGGATTTCTTTAAAAAACACTTGCAGGCCGTTTTTTTTCTTGCAAAGGTTCAGGCAACACACTCTAATTTAGCAAATGCAAGAGAATTTTCGCTGCTTTTTTCCAGATCCATGAACTGTTTTCGGGTAGGAGTCCCCGGGCTTCTCGGAACGAACTGTGTTTGTTGCATCTGACTGCAACATGCCCGGTTAACAACTGGGCTCCTTTTGTCCATACGCTTTAGGAGGTTGCTCCTTTCCCCCTCCTTTTTCGGGGGCCCCTGGCGGGTACAAGTACCAGTACTTGTACCCGCCAGGGGTCTGGGCCTAAAGCCGAAACTAAAGGAAACTCCCTTCCATACCGTCCCCCTCCCCCCCTCTTTCTCCCTCAGGGGTCCGTCCTGCAACCGCTTGTGACTTTCCAGCACATCGAAGCTGGCTGGAATATTGCCCACAAAGTGGTGGTCTGTTATTTACAGTCTCGTTAAATCTCGTTTTAAAGTTTAATATTTTCATTTGTTTGGTGCACGTGTGTGGCTCCTCTCCCTTCTCCCCAGCTGGAAGTGTTATTGCGTTGGGAGGGGACAGATCCAGGACAAGGGAGGGATTATGGCGCAATTCTACCAGGAGCCCCGCCTCTTCCTCCCCCAAAGTAACCCCGTTTTGCTGGCCCAATGTCCTGTTTTACATAGACGGGGCTTTTTACGGATTTCTTTTTGAGCAGTTAACACAACAGCCATTCCTAGGGCGTTTAGAAAGTTATTTTTAATCGATTTAGTACCAAAGCTTGGCTGGAAGTGACAGCGTTTGGGATAAGGTAGCAATATCAAGCACATAGATCAGGAGAGCTCGAAATACCAAAAACCAGGCCCAATCGCGTTCCCCTCCAGGGCCACAATTGATCGCTATGATGTTCTCTCCAAGGAGGCAGAACCAAGATCACTAGCATCGGGTCCCCCCCTCCCGGGACGCAAAATCAATCAACGCGCCATGATCACCAGCAGGCTTGACAACCACCAGGCGGCAGTGGTCAAATTTGCCTTATATATAATGTTGCTTTCCTATTGCACTGATATCATTGTTGCGAGTTGCCGGAAGCCTGTAGTCCACCTTTCTCTAGCTCTTCTACAAAAGGAAGCTGGTGATGTGTTAGCTGTTCGGACTTGTTGGCGGCTTCTTGGCGATCGCAGTTTTTATATTTTAATTGTTTTTGTCTTTTGTTTTCCTTCAGGATGTC